CACACACACACACACACACACACACACACACACCAAAAAAAAAAAAAAAAAAAAAAAAAAAAACAGCGCACAGCACGCACCCCTGCCTGGCAGCGCATTTTGACGTGCATCCCGCACAGCGCAATCGGTGCGGGCACCCACACACATGCGCATGTGGTATGGGTGAGCGCATCCCACAAGGCACACCGCACCGCATCGCGCGACGCACCGGTGCGCCGAAAGTATGACTCAAAACTGAAAACAGATATGATATACCCTAAATCACATACAGATCACAAATTGGCACACAAACAAACAAAAAACAAAAACAAAAAAAGCAAAATTTCAGATCAGTCAAAAATTCGCCGAAAATGACACCACCTATTAACCATTAGTGTTAAAGCTCCGGAGAACTCACAGTGGGTTGGAGAGGGCAATCAACTCATCCCTGAAGAAAAGCTTACCACACACAGACAAGCATGCCAGCTAACTGCCTTGATCCCTGCTTCTCCCACTCTTTGCCTAGGATCTCCTGAATAGCACTCATCCATGCAGTTGCACTGTTACTATACCTCTCGTGCAGGCCCATCCCAACCTGCAAATGCATGGACAAGCAAAAGGTGTAATTAAATATAAATATATCAGAAAATTAAATATATCCTTATTATATCGGAAAGAGCTGTAGCGAAGAAAATGCAATCAGACATTGAGAAAGAGCGAAGGATAGGACGATCGAGGGAAATAAGAGGTCAAAGCAGTTGCATAGTTTTCCTTGCACTGCGTAAATAAATAGTTTGCAAAATGAGCACCGAAGAACACCACCTGTAGGCAGGAGCAGACTCAGAAAAAAAAATAGATGTCACTGCCCCAGCTGAATTCCCTTTATCAACTTGACCCGTTCACATGTTTCCCTTTCCCTTCGCGCAGTTCCTTTGCTTGTGGTGGGCATCATACCCAAAAACCAACGTGTAAAAATAGGCAGCTAAAACTACCTTTCGCAAAGGATAGAGTCAAAAAACAATTTCGACTGCAAAAAATCAGCAGAGCTTTCTGAAGTGCAGTCCTACTTCAACTTGCATGCCAGAGAACACAAACTAATGTACCATCTTCCCACAAAGCAAAAACTATGTCATTATAGCCGTATTTAGGGCAACTTTCAGTCTAGATACAATGATAATGACATTACAGTATATTCGGGTGAAGACGGTAGCAGCAAGCTGGAAAGCTTGTTTGACGGTACCTGTCTTGTGGCTAAATGGCACACCGTTGGATACTGAAAAACCGTTGTCTGACTGAGGGTAAGGAGAGTGATAGTACCGGTAGGCAGAAAGCTAATGCCACACATCATACAGCCAAGGAATCTTCTTGGTTGTGACCAATTCAGCAGAGCTTTCTGGACCAGCAGTCCTTCGATGCCCACATCAGATAACATCGACTTGGGTGATCACAGCACAATGCTATGCACCACAACATGAAGATTGGGAAGGGACTTCACATTATCTGCCATGCTAGGAGGTGCCTTGTTTCAGGCTCTGCTCACGAAATTGGCACTTTCTGAATTTGAGTACAATGTACGAGCTTTTTTTGGGGGGGGAGGGGGGGGGACCATTTCTCGATTTATGCCTGTCATCCTGGCGCAGGGGCCATGCTAATCTTCTCTGTATCGTTCCAATTTTTTTATTTTTATTTTTCAAGGGCAACGGCCTTTAGACATAATCATCTGAACTGACCAGCCCTAGGTCGTACAAATTTGCAGTATTTTACTCGTCACCCTCGTCTGCTTTGAGTGGAGTTCAAACTCAGGTCTGTATTTCAAAACTACAGGGGTGTACCGACTGAGCCAGGTCAGTTGGTATTGTTCCAATTTTAACGATGTCCTGAAGGACACAATGTACGAACTCAATATTCCACTCCACCCCACCTATTTTTCCTGGAAGACCGAGCAAATTGCAGAGTGGTTTGGCATTCAGTCCGCCTCATTCCCCTACCACCCAACAGAACTGCCTCCATGCCTCTGCACTGTGGACTTCACAGAGATGGTAATCTTGAGGCTATAAATTGGCCCCCGCAGTCGAGAAATTGCGAAGTACGGGATTTATTTAATTCCCGCCTCTCCCTGACGCACTGCTACACCCTCAATCCCTACCCTTCCATATGTGTGCAAGGACAAAATGTACCATCAAGCCTCGAGTTACAGTCATATCTGCAGCAAATCTTTGACAGCCACTCTGCAATATACTTGAAGACTACGATGTTTTTCTTACCCAGCCAAGAAGCCGGGTGTGTGAGCCAGGAGGATCTGATGCCCAGAGTACCCGGGGATGACAAAAAGTGGGGTCAATTTTTTTTATTTTTTTTTGCGGAAGAAGGGGGAGGGGGGGGAGGGGGGAGGGCGTTTTCCGCACACGCCCAGAGGATTCCAAACCTGGCCCTTTTTTCTTTTGGTCTTTGCTGGCTCCCCGGGTCTGGGGGTAGGGGTTCTGTGAGACTCCACAGGGACATGCTCAGGGGAGGGAGGGAGGGAGGGAGGGACGACGGACAGGGGACTGAGGGACAGGAGGGATGGAGGGACAGACTGACGGATGGAGGAGGGATGAAGGGGGACAGACGGATGGACAGGATGGGTAGGAGGGACGGACGAAGGGATGCAAGGATGGAAAGACGGATGGGCCGATGGGTGAATGGCCGGATGGACCAATGCATGATGGGTTGATGGATGTGTGGGTGGGTGCACCAGTGGGTCGTAAGGTCCGTGGATGGAATGACGTGATGCGTGGATGGGTGGATAGGTGGATGGGTGGGTGGATAGGTGGATGGGTGGATGGGTGGATGGGTGGATGGATGTATGGATGTATGGATGGGTGGATGGATGGATGGATGAGCTGGCGAGGGTGTACTCAGTGCACCCAGGAGTATTTGAGGTTTGTTGGTCTGGTTTGCTCAAGATTTCCACGTTTGTTTGCTGCTTTGCCTATGTGTCAAAGTCTATGTGTGATGGTTGCTATAACTGTGAACTCACTATCTTCTTGTGCTGTTTTTCCTGTGCCAGGAGGTGTGGAATAGTACATAGGAAGAATGACAGCGGTAGGACTCCAGACAGACAAGTCTTGGACGGACAAAGTAGAATTTGGCAGGGGCCCGATGGCATTTTCCAGCCACTCTGGTAGGCCTATGAATGTCCTGTGAGCTTAGAAGAGTCCGGTAGCTTCCACAAAGGTCAGGACGATCCAGGACCCCAATGCAAACAGGTACCAGGTTAGATTCAGGCGCTGGGAGTGGAGTGCAGGGTGCAATGATGTTCCCGCCAAAAGCAGGAACTACCAGTGGGCCTAGGGCACCGGGTAGAGGCTGAAGAGCCCAAGAGTGGAGGGACTGTAAGCCAAGAGCCAAGAGTGTATCATTTGATGCAAATACCGTCTTCCCCCGAACACAACGCACCCTCATCTTGGCTGTACCCGACCGGATATGCATACGTTCAATTTCAGGGTGCGTTATGTTCGGGGGAAGACGGTAGTACAGGACATTCAATTGGCAGTCATGCTGCTGCTCTGGCCTTAGGGAGAGTTTGGCAGAGCTCTGGGCTAAGCAGAGAACCTGGGGGTGACAAACAAGACCTCCATGCTATGGAACAGTAGAAGAGGTACTTACCCTAAAAAGATGAGTTTTTTGTTTTTACTCACTTTTTTTCAAATAGAACACCCCTACGAATAGAACGCCCGGGCGTTATATTTGAATGTTCAATGGGAAGAGTGCCTTGAAGAGGTAGCATACACGGGTTTTAAAGGGGGGAGAAGGGAGTATATATGGGTTTTGAAGAGGGTTGAATGGGGTTTTGACTTCCAAGGGGTATATTTCCGCTTGGAATTCTGAAGTGACCCTCAGCCAAAAATTGGTAACATACTAACATTGCAATCCTGGACAAATATTTTTTACAGTGTTTTTTTTTCCCGGAATTTTGGGGCCGCACTGAAGTTACCACAAAATTTACATTGTCTTTCAAAAAATTCGAATAGATATTAAATACAGAAGGCTTAAAGCAAAGAAATTGATCATATCAAGAATTACTCTGGCTATGTTGGACAGGGCCCTGTTCAGGAACCAGTTGGTCTTGGACATCATCCCAGAGTTAGCTGTGGCGGCAGGATATGGGAAAGACAGTAGTAGTTGCACCGTCCTTCAGACATCCTTGGTTGTCATGGATGAACAACCGAGAAGAGAGGAGTGAGAGTGTGAACGGGGAAGTCGTGCTGGCAGGAAGGGGGGGGTTATTGAGACATTGATTCTTGTTTCGTCCATTTATTATTGTAGTTTATTCTCCATAAGAGGAGGACGTAAGTGACATGATGATGACTGGGGAGAACATTTGTTCAAACTTGTGTGTTTCTTCTTCTTTCCTTCTCCATTCTTCTTTCTTTTTCCCCAGAAGCCGGTTGTGGCTTGCTAGGAGGGGTGGTGAGAGCAGCCCCTGCTAGCAGACTTCCCTGGTTGCTCCTGTCTATAGGTAGGGGGCTTCACCAGCTGGAAACCGGGTCCTGCGCCCCACAAGGTTACAATGCGTCAATCAAGCCAACCCTGTGCAGCATGGTCTTGCAGGGGAAGCAGCTGCCTGTGGCGCAAGCATGGGAACAGCTGCTTGGCTTATTGGAAGCAGAGTACAGACTGGACTGGGACATGGCAAATCCGCAGTCTGCAGCTCGGAGATGGGTGAGTAGGTTGGTTGCGAGGGGACAGAACCTGCCTTGCATGGTCGCCGCAGTGGACAGGACAACAGGCAGTAGACAGTGGTCGACCATGGATCGTTGAGTAAATACAGCTGGAGGGGAGCAGGGACAACACAGTCCGAGGTAAAACGGAAAGTAGATGGATGTTGCCACTACCCGGCCGTGTGACCGGGGAGGGCACCGTCTAATCCCGCAATGCAGACCCCCAGGGAGTAGTCCGGGGGCCAGTGTAGTATTACACCGGGACTGTAGACAGCGGGACAAACACTTAGGCGACGAGCTCGGGTGGATCACGAGAGAAGCGGACCTGCATCACGTGTTAGGGGGACTCGAAAACAGTTTACTGACCCAACGCTGGTTAACAGCCCTGGACATTCTCATGTATTGATTGACGCATTCCTTCTCCATTCTATTCCTTTCTTTGTTTTGTTTTCTTTCCATTTCTTCTCAAGTTGTGAAATCTTGCATTGTCTCAAAGTTCAGTTTTGCATTTTGAGTTGAGTTGAGCAGGATCACAACAGAGACCTGGAGTTTTGAACTGCCCTGTAGCATGGAGAAGAGAATCACTGGGTGGTTGTGCAGAGAATTCAGAGAAAGAGCTTCAGCTAGAGACAAAACAGTGCCTGACTTCCATCGAGATAAGGAAAAAGCATTTACAAGAACCACATCATACCATCTCTTTTGCACCAGCCACTGCCAGTGTCCCAGCCCCAGATTCCATCTCTTGAAGTCCAACAATCAGAACGTCTGCCTTGTGACCTGCTTCCCCCAACCACCTGTGCAGATTAGAAGACTTCGGTTTTTGCTGATTCACATTCCATGTTGCAACCCAGAAACATAGGCGGCGTCGAACTGTATACAGTTCGGACCTTTCCTTCAACGCCCTGTGCAACATGTCCTTGAGCGGCCCAGCACTATTAACATGCCATCCTCGAATGCTCCCATCAACTGCCAATGTGAACACATGGTCACCCGTAACTTCCATCCTGAAGAGCTCTGCTTTGTGCGCCTTCCATTTCTGCCACCTCCCATCACCAAGCTGCACAGCTACACTACCATCAGCGAACCCCACCCACAACTGCGAGCCGGTAATGCACATACAACGAATGCTCGAAGTATGCTGGCTCGCATCAGTCTTATTTGACATCGTTTTGTCCCACTGAACTAGCTTTCCATCTGCAAAACCCACCCACAACAGCCCATCAACACCAGGCACTAACGCCCCAAGCTTCTTCTCATCCGCCGAAGTGTTCCCACCTCCACCAACCGATACCACCTTCTTCACCACATCTGCTGCACCCATTACACCTTTTACAAGAAAGGACACCCCTGTCCATCCCTCCTTTTTCTCTTTCTTCGGAAGTTTTGCGAACTCCCTCTCATGCCCAGCTTCACCTCGAACAGGCGAAGTCTCGCGACCTGGAGACCGATATCCCACACCTTCAGCCTTGTCTAATACAGACAAACTGTGGTTCAAAAGCTCGAGGCTCCGCGCATCCCTGCAACAACCCCATGGGCATGAGACATGAGACATGAGGCATACAATACATCATGCACCGAATTGGAGATGAATAGGGGGAGTCGTATGACGTCCAGCATGTCTTGTAAGGAGGCAAACAAGCACAAGCTCCATAACGATCTATGTCAGCTCATGGCATGGCATATATGACAGAATGATGTAGTGGCCATACATACATTTTAGAAACCAAGTTTTTGTTAATACAGATAGAAGACAAGAAAACACGACCCCTTGATCAAAATTCACCAGAGTTCAAACATGTGGTTAACCCCTGTCAAATCTCCACTGAGACTGTTGCATTTGCTCGAGATTCGTTTTTCTTTTATTTCTGGGTTCTCTTTCGGGCGGTTTACATGTGCGTCAAACATGTGCTACCAGCCCCATGGCCCAGCTGGGAGGGGGAGGAGCTTCGCCTGGGTACCCAGGTCAGGTGGGGTCTGGACAGGGTCCCAGGCAGCAAGCGCAAAAATATTTAAAATTATTAAAAAAATACAAAGAAGAGTGCAAAGCTGTAAACTCGCATTGCAAGCAACTGTTGAATGAGGCCAACCTTGAACTTTGCTATCAATTTTGAGACAAAAAAAAAAAAAAAAAAAAAAAAAAAACCGACGCTTATTAAAAAAAACGATATACCCCTTTGAACCCCTTTGAAAACTGTTCACAGTACCTTGATAACCCCAGAACCCCCTTTGGCAACCCATCAGCGACTGGAAGATAAGGCCAAATTCCGACTGCTCAGCCCAGGTGCAGTCTTGGGCTCAAGTCAGAAATTTCTTTTTTAGGATCCATGCCGCCTCCTTTTTGCCCCGCTCGGCTATCCACCCAGGCAGGCAGGCTGGTAGCTTTGCTTTTTTTTTAAGCTTAAAGAGCGTGTACCACCTCATTGCATTTTCTGACATTATAGCAGAGGGTTTTACTTGCAATGAATTCATAAAAATCATCTAATGCTTATCAAAACGCTTTGAAAGCATTTTTTGTCAGGCTTTTATACTGTTTTCAATGTTTTGTTCTTTTCTTGTTCTTTTCACTTGCCTGTGTTGTTTCGTGATGTTCATACCGTGCACCCATGTTGTTTGTTGTGAAAGATGTTCACTCTGTTGGCTGCAGTGGGCCAGTGAATACGCCAAATGTTTTGCGATCTATACACCCTCTCCCCCAGAATTGACCCGAAACGGTTGAAAACCCCTGCATGCATGAACAGTTTGCCGAAATATCCGAGTTACCAGAGAGGCTGCACTTTTCAGTTGGGAAAAAGCATCAGGATTGTTCTTCACCTGACTG